GTCGTCTCTTCCCAGTTGTGCCTGTTACGATACCGCAGCTGTGCAGATCAGAACCACCCTGAGCCGTGGGACAGTTCAGATCCTGATCTGTGTCTGAAGGCCGTGTGCTCTGGGTGGTGAGCACAGGGCTGGGAAGTGGCGATGAAAGGTTTCTCTCTATGTATGTCAGCATTTTCATTAAGGACCTGATCCTGAGAGGTGCGGAGCACCCACAATTCCCACTGGATCCCATGTGGATGCTCAGAACCTCCCAGGATCAGTCCTTAAATTAGGGCTGCAGAACAAGATGTATTTAGAACGTACTGTGGGCTTTCAAGTAATATGGAAGATCCCCCTAGGGAAAGGCTGGAACTCACCTCTGGAGTCTGGGACAAATCTAGTTCTCTTTTCCCGCCGGGATACCAGCCGTGGGACCAGTGCTGAGCTCTCGACAGGTGGGTGCTGACTACTAGCATGACAAAGAGCAAGAGCAGGAGAGGTCGTTGACATGCCATGGCGTTGTCTGGCTGAATGGGGAGATCCTGCAAGGAGAAGGGAGGAGCAAGTCGGACATGGCCTGGGAGCAGTCAGCGGAGGAAAAAGTCCCACAGCGTGCATGGTTCTAGAGCCATATGGCAGGCAGCACCTCATTTCCTAGCACGCAGTGCAGGGTGTGCACAGGCAGCATGGCCTGGTGGGAAGAGATTGGAACAGGGAGCCTGGGTTCTCTTCCCAGCTCTTCCGCTGGACAGGTTGCTGTGTGTCTGTGTTCCTCAGCTGTATAATTTGGATAACACTCACCTGCCTGGCAGGGTGGTTGTGAAGTCCAACTGGTTAACATCAGTAACGGGCTAGGTGGCCCTCAGATGAAAGACACTTGGCTTCTAAAGGGACTAAGGATAGCATCGGGGGGAGGGATAGCTCAGTGGTTTGAGCATTGGCCTGCTAAACCCAGGCTTGTGAGTTCAATCCTCAAGGGGGCCACTAGGGATCTGGGGCAAAAATCAGTACTTGGTCCTGCTAGTGAAGGCGGGGGGCTGGACTCGATGACCTTTCAAGGTCCCTTCCAGTTCTAGGAGATGGGATATCTCCATTAATTTACAGTTTAAAAAAATTAATTTATTAGCTCAAGACCTATAGGCAGATCTGGCCAAAAGAGCGAATGTGATCTGGGATACATAAACGGGACTCTCAAGTAGGAGTAGAGAGATTATTTTACCTCTG